GTCCTTACCATGTCCCTGCCCAGGTCCCCATCAGCTTCCCAGTGCCCCCTCCCAGGTGCTTGTGTCACTAAGTGACCCCCAGGGGCTCCCCCCACCCCACCTCCATTCCTCCCAGGGGCCAGCCGGTGGCCTCGGCAGGGCTGGAGCAGCCCCCTGCTCTGTGTCTGCTGTCCTGTCCCCTGGCTCCTCCGACTGGCACTTCAGCCACTCTTCTCTTTGCAGTGGACTATTACTTCCCACCCCCGCCCGCCCCGGAGCCCGATGCTGAGCAGGACACCCACGAGGAGAAAGAAGAGCGGAGTGAGTGGGACCCCTTGCAGGCCCAGTCCCCAGGCTGGGCCAACCCTGCGGCCAGCTCGGCCCCCCGACCCCCACCCCCCACCCCATGGCATCCCAGGGCCAGGCTGACCAGCCTCTGGCCTTGCATCCTCCAGAGAAACCCAGAAAGGAGGGCAGCGGCCCCCAGGAGGAGACGGAGGACAGGTGGGCCGTGGAGAAGGGCAAGGACCAAGGTGCACGGCTGGGCCGGCTGGGAGGCAGTGCTGGGACACCTGCTGCCTGGAGCCGGGGCACCAGCTCCTGCCTTTCTGTCCCCAGGGCCCTCAAAGGGCAAGGAGCTGGAGGAGGAGTGGGCACCCCCGGAGAAGATCAGTGAGTGGGGCCCAGGCGGGGAGTGGAGCGGCGGGGTGCTGGACAGCAACTCACCCAGGGCCAGGCTGTGTCCTAACAGGCCCTGGGCTCTCACAATGGCTTCACCAGCTGGGATCCTGGCTTTGGCCTGAGGCCACCCGCCTCAGGGGCCATCGGGGGAGGACTGGGGGAAGCAAGGCCTGCAGCTGCCTTCACATCTGTCCCTGTGATATCCCGTGACCCCCTGCCCCTCAGCATCCTGGGCTTTGGGTCCAAGTCAACTGGGGGGGGGGGGGCTATGGATCTGCTGGCTGGCTGGCAGCCCTGGGCCAGAGGGAGGGAGGGGTGAGCCACGAGCCCCGACCTGGGTGTGCGTCCCCAGAGTGCCCACCCATTGGGATGGAGTCCCACCGTATTGAGGACAACCAGATCCGTGCCTCCTCCATGCTCCGCCACGGCCTGGGGGCTCAGCGTGGCCGGCTCAACATGCAGGTGGGCATCCCGGTGGCCTCCCCTCCCCAGTGGGCAGGGGTCTCCTCAGCCCAGACTCAGCCTCTCTTCCCGCCCCCAACAGGCTGGTGCCAACGAGGATGACTACTACGACGGGGCGTGGTGTGCCGAGGACGACTCACAGACCCAGTGGATCGAGGTGGACACCAGGAGGACCACCCGGTTCACGGGCGTCATCACCCAGGGCCGAGACTCCAGCATCCAGTGCGTGGCCGGGGCGGGGAGTAGCGGTCTGCAGCTCTCCAGGGACCAGAAAGGGGCCCGCGTGCCCACAGACCCCAGCAGGCTTCAGCTCCCTGGGGCCCAGGGGGAGGAGCGCCCGGGGGCCTGGAGCCTGAAGGGGAGGGCGGTGTCGGCTGACTGAGCCCCTCCACAGCGACGACTTCGTGACCACCTTCTTCGTGGGCTTCAGCAATGACAGCCAGACATGGGTCATGTACACCAACGGCTACGAGGAGATGGTGGGTGCTGGGGCCCTGCGCTCTGCTCCCCCGTGCTGGGCCGGGGGCGGGCTCCTGAGGCCGGCTCTCCACAGACCTTCCATGGCAACGTGGACAAGGACACGCCTGTGCTGAGCGAGCTCCCGGAGCCCGTGGTGGCCCGCTTCATCCGCATCTACCCGCTCACCTGGAACGGCAGCCTGTGCATGCGCCTGGAGGTGCTGGGCTGCCCCGTATCCCGTGAGTGCAGGGGCCTGGGGGGCTGGGGCGGGCCAGGGCGGACCTGGGAGCAGGTGGCAGGCTCAGGGCCCCACCCCCGTCCCCTCCACAGCTGTCTACAGCTACTATGCACAGAACGAGGTAGTGGCCACTGACGACCTGGACTTCCGGCACCACAGCTACAAGGACATGCGCCAGGTTGGGAGTGCGTGACCCAGGCCCGTGGAGTCCTGTGCCTGGGACCAGCTCAGTCCCTGGCCTCCCGGAGTGGGACCCTGTCTGCCCCTGACCTCAGAGGGGCTAGGAGGGTGTGGCCGGGAGGGGCGGGCAGGCAGTGACCTGGCGTCCCTACTCCAGCTGATGAAGGTGGTGAACGAGGAGTGCCCCACCATCACGCGCACGTACAGCCTGGGCAAGAGCTCACGCGGCCTCAAGATCTACGCCATGGAGATCTCGGACAACCCTGGGGAACACGAGCTGGGTAAGGCGTGCGTGCTCCCTGCAGGGACCCTGCTTCCTCGCCCCGGTGCTGGGGACGGGCAGGGCTCCCACCTCCCAGGGGGGCTCCGGGTCTGCCTCCTGTGCCTTACAAGCCTCAGCTACACAGCCCGCCCCCTTCAGGAACGAGGTGGGTCTGGATCGCTGCTCAGAGGTGTGAGGCTGAGGGGCTGCTGTGGCTCCTGCCCTTGCAGGGGAACCCGAGTTCCGCTACACAGCCGGGATCCACGGCAATGAGGTGCTGGGCAGAGAGCTGCTGCTGCTGCTGATGCAGTACCTGTGCCGCGAGTACCGCGACGGGAACCCCCGCGTGCGCAACCTGGTGCAGGACACGCGCATCCACCTGGTGCCCTCGCTGAACCCTGACGGCTACGAGGTGGCCGCACAGATGGTGGGTGCGCAGGGGTGGGTGGGGAGGGCACTGGGTGGGTGGATACGGGCAGAGCCAGCGTTGACTCTGCTGGCTTTGCTTCTGCAGGGCTCGGAGTTCGGGAACTGGGCGCTGGGACTGTGGACCGAGGAGGGATTTGACATCTTTGAGGACTTCCCGGATCTCAACTCTGTGCTCTGGGGAGCGGAGGAGAGGAAATGGGTCCCTTATCGGGTCCCCAACAATAACCTGCCCATCCCCGAGCGCTACCTGTCCCCTGACGCCACGGTGAGACAGCAGCCTGCTGACAGGGCCCTAGGGTCCGGGGCGGGGAGCTGGTGGGCACATGGATGAGACCTGGGCCCTGGCCTCACATGCTGGCTGTCCCCAGGTGTCCACAGAGGTCCGGGCCATCATCGGCTGGATGGAGAAGAACCCCTTTGTGCTGGGAGCAAACCTGAACGGTGGTGAGCGGCTTGTGTCCTACCCCTACGATATGGCCCGCACGCCCAGCCAGGAGCAGCTGCTGGCCGCGGCCATGGCCGCTGCACGGGGAGAGGACTATGACGAGGTCTCCGAGGCCCAGGAGACCCCAGACCATGCCATCTTCCGCTGGCTGGCCATCTCCTTCGCCTCTGCCCACCTCACAATGACCGAGCCCTACCGGGGCGGGTGCCAGGCCCAGGACTACACCAGCGGCACGGGCATCGTCAACGGGGCCAAGTGGAACCCCCGGTCAGGCAGTGAGTGGGCCTGGAGGGCCGGGAGGAGGGGACGTGGCCCCGGGCAGGGCTCACTGCAGGTCTGCCTGGCCCCGTGCAGCCATCAACGACTTCAGCTACCTGCATACCAACTGCCTGGAGCTCTCCATCTACCTGGGCTGTGACAAGTTCCCCCACGAGAGCGAGCTGCCCCGGGAGTGGGAGAACAACAAGGAAGCACTGCTCACCTTCATGGAGCAGGTGGGGCTGCGCGGAGCGGGGCACAAGGTGACCCCTGACCCGGCCCGACACCCACCCCAGCTCACTCCCTCCCACAGGTGCACCGTGGCATCAAGGGAGTGGTGACAGACGAGCAAGGCATCCCCATTGCCAATGCCACCATCTCTGTGAGTGGCATCAACCACGGCGTGAAGACAGGTACCGTGTCACACCTTTACCTGCCTTCCCCAGGTGGGGGCCACCTGTCCTCCCCTGGAGGTGGAAAAGGGGATGGGGGGGCTCAGAGAGGGAGGGCTCTGGAGCAGCCCACACAGCCCCTCCTCCCTCCTTCGCAGCCAGCGGGGGTGATTACTGGCGCATCCTGAACCCGGGCGAGTACCGGGTGACGGCGCACGCTGATGGCTACACCGCAAGCTCCAAGACCTGCAACGTGGACTACGACATCGGCGCCACCCAGTGCAACTTCGTGCTGGCACGCTCCAACTGGAAGCGCATCCGGGAGATCATGGCCATGAACGGAAACCGGCCCATCCTGCGCATCGACCCCTCCCGGCCCATGACCCCCCAGCAGCGGCGCCTGCAGCGGCAGCGCCTGCAGCACCGGCTGCGCATGCGAGAGCAGATGAGGCTGCGGCGCCTCAAGACCACGGCAGGCCCCGTGTCCCCCACGCCGCCCCCCGTCCTGGCCACGGGCACCACCCCTACTCCCACCCCCGCCCCCACCCCCGCCCCGGGGCCCTGGGCCCTGCTGACTCCAACCACGGCAGCCTGGGAGGAGACGGAGACAGAGACCTACACAGAGGTGGTGACGGAGTTTGGGACAGAGGCGGAGGAGCTGCAGCCAGAGGAGCCGCAGCCGGAGGAGCCGCAGCCGGAGGAGGAGTGGGAGGAGGGGGAGGAGGAGGAGTGGGGGGAGGAGGAGGCGGCCACTGGCCCCACATTCCCCTTCACCACTGTCGAGACCTACACAGTGAACTTCGGGGACTTCTGAGAGCGGGGTCCCACCAGGCCCCAACCCGGCACACGCTCCACCAGTGCTTCCCGGGCCACCCAGGCTTGTCCGCGGGCACAAGAAGGGGTCCCGGACTTCAGCCAGAGCTTGTGCAGAGGCCCCTGCCCCCCCGCCACAGCCGCATCTGGGGAGCCCAGGTCACAGCAATAAACAAGCTCATGGCACTGACCGCTGCATCCCGACCAGCTCAGGGAGGAGACCGCGCCCTCCCACAGGGGGCCCGACCCCACGTGCCCAGGGGCTCACGGCTGAGTAGCAAACGCGCAGGCTTTATTTACGTGACACTGCAGGGCCGCACCCGAGTCAGGGGCCCAGCCCCAGGCCGCCCAGGTCGTCGTCCTCCGCCCCGAAGCCCGCAAAGCTGATGGGCTCGCAGGCCAGACTACGCAAGTTCACCAGGCAGGCGGTCTGCGTGGCACTGAAGTCGGGCACAGCCACCAGTAGCACCGTCTGGTCCTCGGGGCCTGCAGAGCACCCCCGGGGGACCCTTCAGGGCTGCTGGGGCCCAGCACACGGCTCCCAGCGCAAACCCTCAGCCCCCCAGGCACGCGCAGACCCGGGCTGTCCACCCTTCGGGGGCCTTACCCACAAGACAAGACTTACCCCGGATGACTTTGGAGCCGAAACTGGGAGTGTTGCCACAGAAGTAGACGTGCGGGCACTCCGGGAAGATGAACGGGTCGGTTTTGTAGAAGGGGTAACAACCTAGAGGTTGAGGGCAGTGGCTCAGCAGGGCTCCCCAGCCTGGGCAGGGCAGGGCAGTCCTGCCATGGGGTTGTGCTGTGGCCGCTGGAAGCCAGCAGCGGCAACACTAATTGTGACAAAAGTGCCCCAGACCCGCCGTGTGGCCAGGTCGCCACATCCCTGCTGCCTCTCCCAGTGGGGTGGTGCGTGCAGGCCTCCAGCACAGGCACTGAGCACCACGCTGCTCAGGTCTGGGCAAGGCTGGCAGATGCAGATCCACGCTGGGAAGCCCACGGTTGCCCCGGACCCCGGGCGCCCACCGTGATGCGCAGTTACCTAGGGTGTCAGGGGCTGTGGGGCTGATGTGACGGACCCGCAGGGTCCACTCCAAGATCGCCAAGTGGTCCTCCATGCTGCTGTACCGGAAAATGTCACTCACATTCTGTCCCGACGTCCCCAGGAATCTGCAAGGCAAGGCTCGGCTGACCCCCAGCCTGGGGCTGCCACTCATGTGCCACCCACGGTGGCCAGCTCAGAGCTCACCCGTCACCTGGCTCTCTGCAGCCCTGCCCCCTCCCAGGACTGTTTCGGGCCAAAAGCCTGGGTCACTGCAGCTCGGCTGAGCTGGCTACCTGACTCCGTCGATGGTGGCCTGGTAGGGGTTGGTGACCAGCTGCAGCGTGGAGTAGGCGGTGGCCAGTGGGAACATGCAGGGGTGCAGAGGCTGTTGCGGGAGCGTGTAGTTGGTCGGGTCAAACTCGCCTGGCATCACGTCCACGGGCACGGAGGCCTGGAGGGCACAGGGCAGGGGGAGCTCGCAGGGCCCTGCTCTGGCCGCCCCACACCCCCACTCCGCGGGCCCCCAAGCCACTCACGCTCAGCTGCAGGAGGATCTCGTCCAGCATCTTCACGGCCTCCACGCTGGCTGCCTGGGTTTTCTTGGTGAGGTATTTGGCCTAGAAGTAGAAGCCAAAGGCCACGAGGCCCCAGGCAGGGCTCAGGTCAAAGGGACACCCGACAGTGGGATGAGGTCGAGTAAGCCCACTGACCCTAAACTTCGCCCAGCCCTGGGCCCTCCCAGCAGGAGGCCTAGAGCCACTGTAGCGTGTGGCCAGCAACCACGAGGCCCTGAGAGCAAAGGCTCCCTGGGGGAGGAGGGCCCCGGGCGGGCTCCGTACCTTATTGATGGAATCTCTGCTCTGCGTGCTGTGGCTGAGCAGGTTGCCGGCCAGGATGACCCTGGAGACATGGGCGGCGCTGCACTGCTCCCCCTCGTCCCCAAGCTGCCCGGTCACCACGTCCACCAGCAGCTGGGTGCCCAGCAGGCTCTCTCCACCGCCTCCACCCAGGCCCAGCCCCGACACCAGCAGCACGAACCTGTGGGAGGGTGGGTGGGCTGCTGCAGGGCGCCGAGGAGGGAGGCAGCCCCTCCGCCTGGCCCAGGGCCCCCTCCAAGGGCAGCCCCTCACCTGTCCGTGTCAAGGGGTGGCGCGGGCTTCTGTGGAGCCAGGTCGGCAAAGCAGTGGTCCTCCACCAGAAACTTGCCATCGTCCTTCACGGAGCCCAGCACCGCCAGGACCGTCCCTGGGGGGCCCAGTTGTTCCCATGTCACCCACGGTGACAGACGTCCCTCAGCCACACTGGTGAATTCTCTCGTGACTCCAGGTCCAATGTCTACTTCCTGGAGCCACTGCCTCTGGGTGGGACCAGGGACACTGATGTCCCAGCTGAGTCTCACCTACCGCTGGCCTCCTCCTGCCCACACATGCCAGCCGTCACGCAAGGGCCACACCCCCAGCACCACCCCCTCCGCAGTTAGGCCCCACAGTTCCTTCCCCGGGCTCCCGCAGAACCCGGCTCCCCACCTGTGACCAGCTTTGACACGTCAATGGTGCCCTTCAGTTTGATTCGCTGCAATTCGTCCTCCAAGACCAGCTGGTCATCGGGGTGGATGTACTTGCTCCGAGGCGGCTGCGGGAGCAGGTTGTGCTGGAATACAGAAACGGAAGCCACGTGGGGCTGAGCCACCCAAGGACACCGCAGCCCGCATCCGTCTGGACCTGCCTGCCCACCGCACCACCTTCCTGTGGGCAGACGTGAGCTGTGTCCGGCTCTGCGTGCCACGGTCTCACCTCCTCGCTGATCTCGCGCAGGATGGAGGGCTGCAGGGGCATGGCCTTGAACAGAGTGCCCACCACGCAGCACTGCTCTCCGGACTGCAGCTCACACAGCTTCTTCACCTCGGTGCCACTGCCTGGGGGGCGGGGGCACAGACTCAGACGCGGGCACGCCAGCGAAGGGGGCCAGCCCCGGGGACGCCGGGTGTCCTCGTGAGAGGCAGAGGAGAGGCCGCATGAGTAAGGCCCAGGCCCTAGCAGCGCCGCGAGCGGGGAGGGAGGCGTCCGTTCCCAGCAGCCACGGAGCCACTCAGTGTTACTCCGCCCTACCCCAGCTGGGACGCCATCCTGAGAAAGAGACACCGATGTTACAACTGTCCTGTGGAGTCAGGATTCTCCTGCCAAACGCTTCTTCCTCTGGAGAGGTCCCCCAGGTTCAGACCCCAGTCCCGTTCCCGTGGAGTCAGGCAGCCCTGCTCACCCAGTGAGCCCACGAGGGCACTGGCTGGCTCAGGAGGAAGGCGGGGAGTGAGGGCGGGCAGAGGAAGGCCCGCAAGTCCCCAAGGCCCGTGGATCTCTTGGAACAGACCCCGCACAGCCCAGTCCTCTCGCCAAGAACATTCCTGAGCTACAGCCTGGGGAGCAGAGGGAGGTAACTCAAACAAGGGCGAGGTGGGCCCCACAGAATGCCACACACCCATGCAAACAGATCCCAGATCCCCAGGCAGCCCCGTCTAAGCACTGTACACGCAACTCGGCCAACCCTGACCCTGTGCCAGCAGCAGACAGCGCTCAGAGAGGTCAGGGAACATGTCCAGGGTCACACAGCTGGACTCAAGCTGTGCCCGAGCACCAGCCAGAAGGACACGGGCGGGCCACACACACATACACACACACCCCGTTATGTGCGAGTGCCAACACTGAGGATGGATGAAACTGGCCGGCCCTTGGCCTCTCTGAGCCCTGTGTGGGAGGCGGAGAGACATTAGCTGATGCACCAATGACTAATCAGCAACTGACCACTGTGAGAAGTGCAAGGCTGAGCAGAAAACACGGGGAGGCCCCAGAGAGTCACGGTGACGGTGATAGAAGGACAGGAAACCGAGGTGAGGAGACAAGACTCCGGGGAGGGCATGGGCCAGGGCAGGCTGACCCTGGAGAGGGCGCAGGCCAGGGCAGACCAACCCCAGGGCAGGCCAGGGGCAGACAGACCCCAGAGAGGGCGCAGGCCAGGAGCAGACAGACCCTGGAGAGGGTGCAGGCCAGGGGCAGACAGACCCCAAGGAGGGCACATGCCAGGGAGGGCACGGGCCAGGGGCAGACAGACCCCAGAGAGGGCACAGGCCAGGGGCAGACAGACCCCCGGGAGGGCACAGGCCAGAGGCAGACCAACCCTGGAGAGGGTGCAGGCCAGGGGCAGACTGACCCCAGGGAGGGCAAAGGCCAGGGAGGGCACGGGCCAGGGGCAGAGTGACCCCGGGGAGGGCACAGGCCAGGGCAGACTGACCCCTGAAAGAGGGCGCGGGCCAGGGCAGACTGACCCCAGAGAGGGCGCGGGCCAGGGCAGACTGACCCCAGGGAGGGCACAGGCCAGGGCAGACCGACCCCAGAGAGGGCGCGGGCCAGGGCAGACTGACCCCAGGGAGGGCACAGGCCAGGGCAGACCGACCCCAGAGAGGGCGTGGGCCAGGGCAGAACGACCCCAGAGAGAGCGTGGGTCAGGGCAGACAGACCCCAGAGAGGGCGCGGGCCAGGGCAGACCGACCCCAGGGAGGGCACAGGCCAGGGCAGACCAACCCCAGAGAGGGCACAGGCCAGGGCAGACGGACCCCAGAGAGGGCGCGGGCCAGGGGCAGACTGACCCCGGGGTGGGCCAGGGGGAGATACTGTGTTGGGGGAGACTGACCCCAGGGATGGCGCGGGCCAGGGGCAGACTGACCCTGGGGCAGGCTGGCCCAAGACCCACCCGGCCTGGGTAAGACACGGTCTCATGATGACCGTCTCGGAGATGCATCAGGAACAGCGGCCGTGTGCCAGTCCCACAGCTGGGGCAACGGGGCACCACCAGAGTCGGGAGTGAGAGGCTGGGTCCTGTCTCACCCCCAGGGCATCGAGGGGTAGGAGAGCCCACCGGGGAAGAGACGGGGACGAGAAAACAGCTTGCACGGCCCGGGTCTTTATTTGGAAAGACAGAATGCTGAGGGTCAGGGGAGTCACGGCCGCTGGGCGGCAGGAAGCAGAAACGGAGGGGCCCCGCCGCCGGTGGCTCCGGTGCCAGGCCAGCCGCGCTCGGGCATGGGCGAACGGTGGAGTGCCCTGCACCTAAACCATTCCCCCCACCGCAACAACGGCTCTCAGTGCTCCACCCTGACCTGGGAGCAGCCTCTGGCCTCCACCTCACACCACAGGTCTTACACCAGTCCTGGTTACGTGAGGACGCCGCGAGGGACGGGCTAGCGTTCCCAGGTAACTCACAAATGGGACCGATCAGGGAAACCTGGAGCCGCGCGCGCCCACACTCACCCCAGCGCTGCCGGGCCCGGCTCACCAGGAAGGGTCTCATCTGGCTGAGGCGCGTGGCGTAAATGTGCGCGTACTGCCGGTTGAAGTTGCGCTCGCCCAGGCGGAAAGGCTGCGACGCGTTGGTGTAGGTGGCCACGGGCACCCGGGCGAAGGTGGCGTTGTTGGCGGACGGAGGGGACAGCAGCGTGTGGGCACGCTGGGCGGCCTGCTCGGAAAACATGGCTGCGTCCCGGCCGAGGAGGGGTCCTGTGGGCACACAAAGGCATCCCTGCCACCCTCGCCCGGTGCCAAACGCGGCTGCCCGCACCGCCTCCGGGGGCCAGACCGGACAGTCCCGGCAGGGAGCAAGGGAGCCTCTCCCACCGGAGTGCGGCTGAACCCCGGACCCGAGTGACCCCTGCCGGCTTCACACCCCCAGGCCGCCTGCCAGGCTCGCGAACGGAATCCCTGACCCGCGCCTCCCCAGCCCCCTGCACCTGCCCCAGCCCAGGGCGCGAGCCCACCCCAGAAGCACGCGCTATTGCTAAATAACCACCATCGCCACGGTGACACACACCGGCCACGGGCCGCGCCGAGCGCCCAGGCCTCACCACGGCCCGTGCCACGCGCTCCCCGCCTCCGGATCCTCTCGCTGCACCTGCGCCCGCGCGCGCTCGCCCGGTCCGCGCTCGCGGGCACCCTCCCGCTGCCCACCCCGAACCACACCTCGGCCCTCTGGCTCGGCACGCACCTCCCAGCAACCCGCACGGACACCTGGCGCCCGCGGAGCGCCACAGGCCGACTCCCCGGAGCGAGCAGCGCCTCTGGACACCGGCTACTCACCGCCTGGGCGCGGCTCCGCGACGGGTCAGGGCCCCGCGGCCCGCTGGACAGCGC